TGTACAACCGCATAGATGGTTCAAGGTCAATCACTTTACAATTCCAGCATGGAATTGAGAGGTTCATACAGTTTGCTATAGAACATAGCACCAACTCAATGACTGAGTTCCGTTGTCCTTGTAAAAAGTGCAAGTATGTGAAATTCCTTAATGCAGACACATTGAGGGTGCATTTGTGTAAGTACGGCTTCATGCCTGATTATTATTGCTGGTCGAGCCATGGAGAAACTCCGCCAAATCCCCCCTAGTGGTTGATAGACACTCATATTATGGTGGAAGTGGTAATCGAGATAACTATGAACAATATGAGCAATTGGTCATGGATGCTGCAGGTCCACATATTGGCGCGCACCTACAGGGTGACACAGATGAAATTCAACAGTTAATGCATGAAGATCCTAATCTGGAAGCACAACAATTTTTCAACATGCTTCAAGCTTCCCAACATCCATTGTGGGATGGTTGTGAGACACACACTACCTTATCTACTTGTCTAACAGCCCTAAGCTTGAAGACAGATTATCGAATGACTGAGGGGTGCTTCAATCAATGGATGAAGTTTGTTGGAGATGTCTTGCCAAAAGGGCATTCACTGCCAAAGGATTTTTATAATGCAAAAAATCGGTGAAGAATCTCAGTCTTAAAGGAGAAAAGATACATTGTTGCCCTACTGGATGCATGTTGTTCTATAAAGAACATTCAGAACTCAATACTTGCGAATTTTGTGGGGGAAATCGATATAAATATGTAACATAAAATGGAAAGGTGAAAACTTCACCATTAAAGAAAATGTGGTACTTTCCCATGGTACCTAGGCTTCAAAGATTATACTCTTCAGAGCAGACAGCTTGTCAGATGAGATGGCATCGAGAGCATAAAGAAATACTGATTCGTTGACACATCCATCAGATGCCGAAGCATGGTTGCACTTTGATGAAACACATAATGATTTTGCTCAGGAACCCCGTAATGTCCGCCTTGGCTTATGTTCAGATGGGTTTGCTCCTTTTGATCAGACAGGGAGGACATATTCTTGCTGGCCAGTTATTATTACTCCATATAATTTACCACCATGGATGTGCATGAGGAGAGAGTTCTTGTTTTTGTCATGTATTATCCCTGGGCCTTCAAACCCAAAGCGTAACATTGATGTTTATCTGAGACCTCTGATAGATGAATTGAAAATGCTATGGACTGATGGGGTCCTAACATATGATGTTTCATTGAAGCAGAATTTCGTGATGCGGGCTGCATTGATGTGGACAATTAATGACTTTCCTGCATATGGTATGTTGTCTGGTTGGCAGACAATGGGGAAGCTTGCATGTCCTATTTGTATGGAACAATGTAAAAGGTTCAGGTTGCAACATAGTCGTAAAGTATCATGGTTTGACTGTCACCGTCGATTCCTGCCATTGAATCATCCTTACAGGAAAAACAAGCATGTGTTCGTAAATGGAAAGGAAGAAATATCAAATATACCACAAAGCCTTAGCGGAGAAGAAGAATGGCTAAGAGTGAGATACAGGTCGACTGCAGAGGAAGTTCCAGTATTTGTTGAAGATCAGGAATATGGACAATCTTACCATTGGACAAAGCGAGCTACATTTTGGGAATTGCCTTATTGGAAAGATCAATTATTGAGACACAATCTTGATGTCATGCATATTGAGCGAAATGTCTTTATGAATATACTAAACACAGTGATGGACACAAAGGGCAAGACAAAAGATACCAACAATTCAAGGAAGGACCTTCAGATCCACTGCAAGCGACCTCTCCTACATTTAGTGGTCCATCCAAATGGAAAGGTTAGTAAACCCAAAGCTAATTACACCTTCAATAAAGAGCAACGAATTGAGTTACTACAGTGGGTGAAAGATCTTAAATTCCCCGATGGCTATGCATCCAAGATGTCTCGATGTGTTAATATGAGAGAGACAAAGTTATTTGGGATGAAAAGTCACGATTGTCATATCTTCTTCCAGAGATTGCTACCATGGGCATTCAAAGCATTACCTAAGCCTACTTGGAATGCACTGATTGAGTTAGGAGTCTATTTTAAGGACATATGTGCATCTTAATTGAGTGTGACAAAATTGCAAGAGATGGAATTGAATGTCCCAATAATGATATGCAAGTTGGAGATGTTTTTTTCGCCTAGTTTCTTTGACTCAATGGGGCATTTGCCAATACGTTTGGCATATGAAGCTAGAGTTAGTGGCCCAGTGCAGTATCGATGGATGTATCCATTTGAAAGGTAATTGTCATTCGTAATAGTTCTAGATTAGAATGTTTTATTGATATTTAAACCCATAAAATAAATGTGTATAACTTTGTCATCAAACACAGGCTTATTCGGACTCTGAAACAAAAGGTTGGGAATTCAAATTATGTTGAAGGCTCTATTGCTGAGGCATATCTGACTGAGGAAATGTCAACATTTGCATCATATTATTACCCCCCAGATTTTCCTACAAGAAGGACAAGACTCTCACGAAATGATCATGGATGTGGAACAAGTCAAGGTGCTCCTATGCAAAATTCAATATTCAACTACCCTGGAAGATCAATTGGAACTAAAACCAAAGCAACACTTGATCCGGTTGATAGGAAGACAACGATATTATACCCTTCTCAATTGCGATGAAGTTGCACCTTACTTAGAGTATTTATCTAATATCCATTTGTTGTCATAAATTTTCATATTTCTTATTTATGCATCTTATACAATATATCCTCGTTGCTTATTCCTGACACATTTCTAACATGACAGGACATTCTCCAACTTAGAAAGACTCCAAAATCCCTTGATAACAGTTGTACAACTTGACGAAAAAATATCAAACCAGAGTTTCCATCCTGGTATTCAAGAACGATATGAATATGTATACCAACACTTTTGCACACATTACTAGTTTAATATGTATCATTAAACCAATGCACGTTATGTACTAAACCATGTAATTTTTACAACACAATGTAGGTTAAACAATCTCGTAATGCGACTAAAGATGTTGCATGGAGCTTAGCTCGGGGACCAAACCAAATCGTCATTCGTTGTCCAAAGTATGTTATTAATGGATACAAGTTTGCGACTATATCATCACATGAAGGGATGGCTACAACAAATTATGGAGTTTGCGTTAGAGGATCGCAAATGGAAAGTTTAGAAGTTGACTATTTTGGGATGATAATTGATATTATACAAATGGATTATCTTGGCCACGGTGACACAAAGATAAATTTATTTAAATGTCAATGGTTTGATCCTAGCCCACAAGGCACACGAAAAGATCGATATGGCAATGTTGAAGTTAAGAAGTCTAGGAGATACAATAGATACGATCTGTTTATCTTTGCTCAACAGGCCGAGCAGGTTTATTATACATCTTATCCCGGGGATGAACAAGAATGGCTGGGGGTAATTAAAACCAAAGCTCGTAACATTATCCCAGTGACAAGAGTAAAAGAAACCGATCAAATTGACAATGCTTACCAAGATGATTATGTTGTGGAGGTTCCTATACACATTCCTGATGATAACATCCATCAGATCCTTGTTGACACTACAGCTGAATTAGAGACAATCCCTGCTCAAAGCATTGATAGTGATGACACAGACATTGAGGAACCACAATTCTTGTCATCATCTGAAGCAGAACATGACGATTATGAAACTGAGGAGACTGAAGAAGAAGAAGACCTAGTTCAAAATGAGGAATCAGAATGAAATGCCAATTATAAACAATCATTAGAGAACTGTGTAGGATAATGACATATTATGTTTGTTTGTGTTTATATTTCTTGTGATATGTCAATGTAGTTGTAATTGTTGTAATATTTGGTACTTGAGAAATACTTATCTTTGGATGTATTGTTAATTTTGATGACATATTATGGAGATTGTAATGGTAAACTAATATTTGTTACATTTTCACAAATGATCAATTCTTATGGAGATTGTAATGGTAAACTGATATAACAATCATGAATGTTTCTTATTGCAGATGAAGACATTTGACAGTACACATGGTAGGGATGGAGGTAAGGATAATACCTCTCTACGTACATATGGACGAGGGGCCATTAACCGTCGAGGGCAGGACCACATGTCATTCTCTTCACGTATGCAAACAACATCACCAGATGCACAATCACCATCATCGGTAGTCCCGGAGATGCAGGAGACGTTTGTAGCTTCTAGTGAAGAAGCAAATGAGGTTATCCGACTAATTATGCCCATATTCTACATTTTTTATTCCAAAAAATTTATGTTCACATTTGATTATTGGAAATTTTTTTGTCTTTATCTCTTGTTTTTGTTAAATAGGATCACGCTTCGTCCCCACCACAGGCTCCATATTATGGACCATCTCCGCCTGTCATGCAGGACCTTGTTCCACAATGGGGGGAGAAAGATCCTGTGGACAATCGTATATAGGTACGACCGACCATTGATGGGAGCAAGTAAGTACAAGAAATGTTAATGGTAGTTGTGATATTTTTTCAATACATCTTCATATAAGTGTTGACGATAATTTAAATGCATTGATGAATATAATCAAATTACAATCTATTTCAGCTTTGAACCATGTGATGTAGTGAGCAAAATATGGGGTATAATCAAGCGCAACTATGACGGTCCATACCCTACATATAAGGCAGTTCCAACCAATGTCAATGAGAACTGGTTTAACTCATTGATGGTAATGTTGCCCTTCAAATCTGACCATATTAATATTTATGTATGATTCAAGGTTTTTGAAGCTAATGTTGATATTTTTTTCTAAATTGTCTTGTTTCATCATTGTAGGAAAAATATAAATACTTGCCGGATGACCAATATCTTTTTCATAAAGCATACAAGACCAAAGCCACTGACATAATCAGAAATCACTTGAATTTGATAAGAAAAGGAAAGGGTGATACGTCTTGGATGAGACAAGATGTTCTTGATGGTTTGAAGGGTTCACTGGTCTAATGAAAAATGGAAGAAAATGGCTGAAGCAAATAAGAGGAACAAGTCCAAATTTGACGGACCTACACATTCTGGAGGTTCAATTCCATTTCATGAGCATGCAAGGCGGTTGGTAAGAATAATAGTAATTTTTCATATGCATATAGATATGTAAAATGGTAAGCTATTTTTTATACTTAGCGTATTATGTTCTGATTGTTTTATGTACATATATACGCAACAGGAAGATGGGGTCACAGATCCGTCTACCCTGGGTTGGGCTGTGTTCAAGCATACACACACATCTAAAGATGATCGTGACAAGTGGTGCAATGACAAGGCAAAGGCAACAGCTGTGAGTAGTATATATTGTTACACCAAATGTTTACTTTTGAAAGCTGATTAGTTTTAGTGCACCTTACTTTAACACATGAATACTTTCTATGTAAATTTTAGGATGGCTTTACGAGACTTAGGGAAGAGAGAGACAGTCAAGTCATTCCAGGAGAGGATGCTAGCAGTGTTGCCTCGGATAATGATTTGATCGTGCAGGCATCTGGTGGGGTTAACCTTAAAGGACGGTTATACGGTTTAGGTACACTGGGAGGAGCATATAAGAAATCTCGACTCTCCAATAGGCTACCACTTGGAGTGTCCCAGCAAGAGCATGACAGGATGCGCACATTGATTATGCAGTTGCAGGGTACAGTTGCACAACAAGAGAAGAGGGCTGCACAGCAAGAGGAGAGGGTTGCACAACAACAAGAGAAGGCTGCACAGCAGGAGAAAAAGGCTCAGCAACAAGATAGTCTCATGGTTATGCCCCTTTTCATTAGTATATGTCTTGGACATTTATAGATATAGGACTGTTTTTATTTGTATATGACAGGGACTTTTGTATATGTATGTCCCTCTTGATTAGCATATGTCTTGGACATTTATATATATAGCACTCTTTTGATTAGTATATGATAGAGGCTTTTGTATATGTATGTCTCTTTTGATTAGTATGTCTTGGACATTTATTCATATAGGACTCTTTGGATTAATATATGACATGGACTTTTGTTTATGTATATATCTTGGACATTTATATATATAGATCTCTTTTGATTTGTATATGGCAGGGACTTTTGTACACATAAATTATAGTAAGATCCAATAATTTTGATATGTTACTTTCATTATATTTGTTTATCAGGTGTTAAACATAAATTGGTATTAATTTTGTAGAGAAACAAATGAAAAAGCAATTTCGTCGAAAATTGAGACAATGATTTTTTGACGAAATTAGTTTTCCGTCGAAAATCATTACAAGATTTTTCGACAGAATTTCATTCATTTCCGTCGAAAAATTTCGACGGAATTTGTTTTCTGTCGAAAGTCATTACAAGATTTTTCGACGAAATTTCATTCATTTTTCGTTGAAAAATTTCGACGGAATTTGTTTTCCGTCGAAAATCATTACAAGATTTCTGTCGAAATTCATTTTTTTCAATTTTTTTCAATTTCATTTATTTTTCCGTCAAAACTTTCCACAAAAATTATTTCGTCGAAATTTCCTTCGAAATTTTTTGACGGAATTTGTAATTCCGTCGAAAAAATAGTTACCCACGAAGATATTTTCGACGGCTTCATTTCCGTCAAAAATTCCGTCGAAAACATCATTTTTGACAGAATTTTAACCATTTTCGACGGAATTTTTTCGTCGAAAAAAAAACATTTTCTAGTAGTGGCTATGGAGGTTTTAGCAGGGAAACTCTCCTTTTTCCCCAAGCATTGCTGCCCCTGCACGCCAGCAGAGGGTTTAGCATGCCTAGCCTAAAAAAGCTAGGTTGGCTAGGTGGCACAACTACATATCTTCTCCCTCACACTTCACACAAGGAGGCTGTAAGAACCCGCATCACTAATTTAGAAATTTAAATTAATTAAATATGAATTTAGGAAATAATTTCATAATTGACCCTAATAATTATAATAAGGCTTAAATAATTATAGTAAGTGATTAAGAATGCTGATAGTTTCTTTTCTGACGAAAAGTGCAGATACCGGTTCTGCCTCACGGTATAAATGTGTACCGTGAAGTATTCCGAAAAATTATGAAAAGTGTGTATATATTACTAGAATAATATATAGGACTAGTATAACAAGTTTTGCGTTAAAATAATGAGAACTGACGTCAGGGGCATGGACAATGTGTTATGTGCAAGTGCCTTATGATATGCATGTGTTGTTCCACCTAAACGGTAAGCCTGAGTATGTGACGTCATACGATATGGTGATTCTGTGGGTGGGTGCAAGTGGTGTCTTGCACTGATTGTAGGTTATAGACGTATGTAATTCCTTCATTTTTCTGGCCAATAGAATATTTGACACACATGACATGATTATTCTGTTGCATTGCACTGATTTTGGAACTTATACTATTTTACTGCTTTTAAAACTTATACCGGCAAGGTGCTGCGAAAAATAAAATAAAAATATGACAAATCCTAGAAAAATGGTTAGGTTCAGAATCTAAAGTTTGGGATTAAAATGATAAGCGTAGCTATTAGTGCTAATATGTGTGATTAAAATTAATACACTTATAAATAGAGGTGGCACATGATCCTAGGTTATTTTCTGGTGCCTCCTACGTGAGTATTGGTGCTCAGCTGCTGCCACCTTCTTCCTTGGTCACCATTGCTTGAAAACTTCTCAAGTCTTCACCTTTCCTCTCATTTTCTTCATCTAGACACTTGGTTTGGTGTGGGTTAGTATTGTGAGGGAGAGGAGTATTCCATTTCTCACTTTCAGCCACTGTCTTGAGAGAGTGTGGGCTGAGTTCCTTGGCTTGTGTTGTTGGAGCCATTTTCTTGGTAGTTGTTACTCCAAGAAGCAATCTTTGTGAAGAAAGGAACCATCTTGAAGCTCATTTTCATGTACCCTTGGAGTCAGCACCTTGGAGCTGACTTGAGAGCTCCAAGAGCATCATTTATCTCTGTTTTGGAGCTTGGGGTATGTTCTTGAACCTTTGATCATGAGTTTCTCTAATAAAAGTGGAGTCTTGGTGTAACACCCTGTGTATACCCGGTTTGTTAACATGACATCGTATTAAGCCACGCTTAATTAAAATTGCGGAATATCTTTTTCATTTCAATTATGACGTCATTAATATTAACCAAGTTGATTACTTAGTTCCTTTTCAAAACATTGTCTGTATGTAAATTGCAATTAAAACATCTAACTGAAATACCTCATAAAATAAATAACTGAAAGTGGGTCTCTAGTCACGGAACTACAACACGTAGACCGGACAGATCCTATAGTTTATACAACTGAAATAAACTTAAACATCGTCAAAACAATGTGGCATGGACAATCCCCATGCTCACCAAATAAACAACATACTCATCAAGTCTCATACAATCAGTGGCATGGACAATGTGTTATGTGCAAGTGCCTTATGATATGCATGTGTTGTTCCACCTAAACGGTAAGCCTGAGTATGTGACGTCATACGATATGGTGATTCTGTGGGTGGGTGCAAGTGGTGTCTTGCACTGATTGTAGGTTATAGACGTATGTAATTCCTGCATTTTTCTGGCCAGTAGAATATTTGACACACATGACATGATTATTCTGCTGCATTGCACTGATTTTGGAACTTATACTGTTTTACTGCTTTTAAAACTTATATTGCACATGTAAGTGAGCTTGGGGTGGAGAAATTCTTGAGGACCCCTTATCTTATTGAGATTTCTTTTTAGAGATCTCACCCCACGTTTGGGGCACATTTTCAGGTTCAGGTAACTCGGGGGTTGATACCTCGGGCGGAAGGAGGCCAGAGCTGAGTTGAGATTTATGCTTTATGATGATATGCTTGGATGCTGACATGTTCTATATTTATTATTATGTTGTTGGATTTGAGACTCTGTTGGGCTTTGTTGTCTTATTTGGTGAGCATGGGGGTTGTCCATGCCACATTGTTTTGACTATGTTATTTTAGATTCGAGTTGTATAATGTATCAGGATTATGGTCTGGACTACGTATAGTAGTTCCGTGATTAGATACTCACTCATTTATATTACGAGGTTATTCAGTGTAGATAGCTGTCTATTTGCAATTACATACAGGCCATGTTTGAAAAAGAACTCAGTAATCAACTTGATTAATATTAATGATGTCATAATTGAAAAGAAAAAGTTATTTCGCATTTTTAATTAAGCGCAGCTTAATACGATGGTATGATAACAAACTGGGGGTATACACGGGGTGTTACTTAGGCCTTCTCAAAGTACTCCCTCACACATTGAAGGGGGATCTTCTTCCTTATTCTTCAAGAGAGCTATTACTCTGCCTTTATACAGAGCTATTCTAGCCACTTACACACACTTCTCCTTGATGCACATACATGGAAAGATTCTACAAAGCCTTGGTCCATACCATAGCTGCTGGGAGTACTCCTAGATTAACATACTTCACCCTCCATGGGACACATTTATGAACCTCCAACGGTACAGTAACAAAATACATGATCTTGCACCTTATTTGTATGAAACTAGTTGTACATAAAATTGTGTAAAGTTTATTTTAAATATTTATCTCTATACTATGCTTTTTGGTGCAGATTTATAACTTTGTTTGTTGTGAAATAATTTCTCACTTATAACCCCTGGGTAGCCTCAATATTATATATGCTAACTCGTCCTTAAAGTTGAAAAATATTTTTGCATCAGTGTTTTGCTTTTACTAAGTAGTCACTATCCAAGTAAAGCAACTCTAGTTACTCGAGTAAATAGAGTTCTATGTTATTAATTTAGTTCAGTAGTCACTACCTTCGTTTTACTGAGTAGTCACTATCCAAGTAAAGCAACTAGTTACTCGAGTAAAAAGAGTTCTAAATTACCTTGATTTAGTCTAATTTAATTCAAACTACTTTGGTTTTTAATTTTTGTGCTTATAAAGAATGCTATACCGATTTGAACTTAAGTTTAATGTTCTGGTTGATTTAAGTATGAATTTTTTTTTGTATTAAGTATGAAAATTTACTGATTTGCTCTTGAATGAATAACCACTTACAAATATGTACAACAAAAAAACCACTTACAAAAGTATATTTTGTTAAAAAAATTTATTTATGTGGGCAATATTAATTAATTAGTTTTGTGTTTTAAAATCAATCGGGTTAATAGATATTTCAATTCTATTATTTGGTTGGCCCATTGTGATCATGTTGAGTTGTGCTTATGGCATCTGTTGGTATTGAGCCTAGTTGAGCTTAGGATTTAGTGTGACCCTAGTTTTTCGTGATGGGTGGACCCAGAGAACACAAACTCTTTTCAGGATATTTGGCTAGGTCCCCTCTCCAACCTATTTATATTGGGGTTAAGCCACATGAGCCGTCATGCTCCCATCGCACTGAGGCTGCCACTTTCGGAATAGGTCATAGAGAAGAAGACCCTGGATGTAGTTCCCCTTTCCTCCGGCTTTGTGATAGCCCAACAACGTACGCACAATCCCTACTTTGATTTCATATTCTTTCGGCATTTTATAATCATATACATTATCCTAGAATTTTTAAATCTATCATTTGGTATCAGAGCCTTGCGTATATGATTATAGAATCCATCTTTATTGGAATCAACAAATTGGGATTTTTTTATAAAGGTTGAAACTTTATGTATTAATTCATGAACTTTTTCTTAAGTTGAATTAAGAAACCTTAGGGCTTTTGTTGTACATGTCAAGAGGTTACCAAACATATATTATATATGTCTTTTCATTGAAAAATTTGGGAAAAAACAAATTAAACTTGAAATGGGTCGACCCGCTAAAGGAAGAAGAAGACTCATTTGGGTTAGTTATACAAACCTTA